AAAAAAAAAAAAAAAATTATATATATACATATATATATAAATAATAATAAAAAAAAAACAAATTGGACACATTTTACCGGACAATTTTGCCCCTACTACCTATTCAACAGGTTTTAATAATGCTATATATAATATAAATAATAATAATAACTAAAACTAAAAGTGGTAAACCAGTATAAAACTCTTAACCCACAAAGGGGTTTTAGCAAATTTGCCTTTGGTTTTTTTTTGGAGTTTGGTGGATGGTTGGTTGGTTTTCTTCCCCAAATTTCATCTCATTTTCAAAATCTTCAGCTTTTCATATTACAATAAAAAAACCTCATCTTCAATTTTCTTTATTTTTGGTTTGCTTCTGAAATTCAGGTGTTGTGTTTATCTGCGTGACGTTCATGAATTCTTGTTTTTCCCGTTGGAATTCTGCGCACAAGCGAAGGAATTAGAAGCGGCTGTTCGTTGTTGAAATTTTTCCCAATATTCGATCGATCAAATCAGGTAATTTTTGCTTAATTTTGTCTCTCGTCTTCTCTCAGGATTTTGAATTATTGTGTGATTTGGTGTATTTTTTTTTTTTCGTTGATTTGATGAATTTTGGAAATTGTGTTGATCATGCGAAGATCTGATCGATAAATTAATCGAGCAGAAGAGACGGTCTTTTGTTTGAGCGTGGAGAAATTAATCGAGCAGCTGATCTAGAGGAGTTTAATTTTTGATTTTTTGTTATAATTCTGCAGTTTTTGTTTCCAGAAATTCGAATTTCATGTAAATTTTCCGATCGGGAAAACGGAGTTTTGAAATTCGGAATGTCGTCAGTTGATCGGAGCCCAGATTCGTATATCTGGATCTGATGGAAGCAATATTCTACTATTTCATTATGTGTAGATCGCTTATCTATGATTTTCAGATCTTAGTTCAATGCCGATCGTTTTCGGGTTTAGGGTTTTACGTTTTCGGCATCTTTGATAGGTATTCATGAATCATGACCATTGATCATAGATTTCAAAATGTTCTTTTGAAAGAG